GCACTTTTTAGTCCAAATCCTAGAATCAGTCATTTCTCCAAAGAACCTTGATTCCTTTTAGTCGAGAATGGAATTTAGAAGCCAAAGTCAATACTTTATTAGAAAATTGCCTTTGTGTTAGATGATTTTGCTCAACCATAGGCTAATGAGCATGTTTAAGATAGGCTAGGCTGGGCTGGGCACAGTGGCTCACGCCTGTAATCCCAGCACTTTGGGAGGCCGAGGAGGGTGGATCACAAGGTCAAGAGATGGAGACCATCCTGGCCAACATGGTGAAACCCCATCTCTACTAAAAATACAAAAATTAGCCAGGCATTTGGCAAGCGCCTGTAGTCCCAGCTACTTGGGAGGCTGAGGCAGAAGAATCGCTTGAACCTGGGAGGCGGAGGTTGCAGTGAGCCAAGACTGTGCCACTGTGCTCCAGCCTGGCAACAGAGCAAGAATTCGTCTCAAAAAAAAAAAAAAACAAAGATAGGCTAGGCTAAGCTATGATGTTTGGTAGGTTTGATGTATTAAATGCATTTTCAACTTATGATAATTTCAATTTACAAGGGTTTATCAGGATTTAATCCCATCACAAGTCAAACAGCATCTGTAATGTCTTTGTCAGCTAATTTTAACATCTGTGTCAGTTTCCGGATTGGTTTTGATTAATCCATTTATCTCCTTACTCTGGACCAGATCTTCTTGATTCTTTGCATGCATTGCAATTTTTTTTATTGGCTGACACATACTTTAAACATTATCTTTTTGGGATCTAGATATTTTTGTATTCCAATAAATATTTTTGAGTTTGTTCTAGAGCTCAGTTAAATTATTAACACTTGGAAATAATTGATCCTTTCAGGTGTTGCTCTTAAGATTTGATAGGTGGAACCAGAGCAGTATTTAGGCTAGGGCTAATTGTTTCCTACTAATGAAGCAAAACTCTACTCAATGTCCTGTGGATCATGCAATTTTCCAGTCTGGCAGGTGGGAAAAGGCACTATTTCCAGTCATATGAGTGTTGGGCACTGTTACCTTTAATCCCTACAGGTGGTTCTTTCTCTGTCTTCAAGGGGTTTCTTATATGCATGCATTAATCATGACTTAGCTGCATACTCAAGGGGCGCCACCTCCATAATTCTCTCTCTGTACATCTCTCTCCTTTCTGGTACTCTGTCCTTATTTGCAATTTCTGGTACTCTTCATTTGTTCCTGTGGATTTCAATAACCCCTTCTGGCTTGGTGTCATTGTTTTACTCTGATACAACTTTGCTCTCACCCACTTCTGTGCTGTTATTGGAAAATAAGTCATATTTCAATATGTTAGAATGAAACAATTATCTATATATTGTTTTATACAATTGCTTTTTAAATCAGTTGACAGAAGAATGGAGAAAGAATATTCATGTGTATTATCTTTTATAATTGCATAATTACTTTTACTGGTGCTTAAATGTATGTGTGTGTGGATTCAGATAACTTTCAGGGATCATTTGTTTTCAGCTTAAAGAACTGTCTTGGCTGGTAGCGGTGGCTCATGCCTGTAATCCCAGCACTTTGGGAGGCTGAGGTGGGTGGATCACGAGGTCAAGAGATCGAGACCATCCTGGTCAACATGGTGAAACCCCGTCTCTGCTAAAAATACAAAAAATTAGCTGGGCATGGTGGCGCATACCTGTAATCCCAGTTACTCAGGAGGCTGAGGCAGGAGAATTGCCTGAACCCAGGAGGCGGAGGTTGTGGTGAGCCGAGATCACGTCATTGCACTCCAGCCTGGGTAACAAGAGTGAAACTACTCCATCTCAAAAAAAAAAAAAAAAAGAACTGTCTTTAGTACTCCTTGTAAGATACACCTACTAGCAATAAATTCTGTTTCTTTTTTAATTGAGAACACTCAATTTTTCCTTCATTGGAAACCTTTGCTGAATACAAGATTCTTGATTGACAGTTTTTCTTTCAGCACCTTGTATCTGCCATACCACTTCCTTTTGGCTCTATTGTTTCTGATGAAAAATCAGCTGTTAATCTTATTGAGGTTCTCTTATATGTGATAAGTCATCTTTCTCTTGCCGCTTTTAAGATTTTCTCCTTATCATTGACTTTCAGAGTTTTTCTATGCTATATCTGTCTCTTTGCATTTATTCCACTTGAAGTTTGTTGATTTTCTTGAATGTTTAATTTTTTTTAAATCAAATTTGGAAAGTTTTCAGCTATTATTTTTGAATATTTTTTCTACTCCTTTTTCTCTCTTTTCCTTCTGATACTTCCATTGCTCATATGTTAGCATGCTTCATGGTGTTCCACATTGAGGCTCAGTTCATTTTTCCTTATTTTTTCTCTTTGTTCTTCAGACTATATACTCTACCAATCTAACTTCAAGTTTGCCAGTTTTTTCCCTCTGCCATTTCAAATCTATTGTTGAGTCTCTCTAAAATTTTTATTTTTAGATAAAAAGTATTTATTTTATTTTTCAACTCCAAAACTTTCAATTGGTTTTACTAATTTAAATCTCTGTATTGATGATCTCTATTTGATGTGACATCATTATTATACGGCATTTTACTTCTTTAATTACAATTTCCTTTAGTTCTTTGAACATAGTTAGTGGCTACTTTGAAACCTTCACATACTAAATCCAATACCTGTTTCCCCACACACATAATTTCTGCCACTTGTATTTTGTTTTGTTTTTTTTCCCCTGTGAATGGGTCACACTTTCCTATTTCTTTGCATGTCTCATAATTTTCTGTTAGTGTTGATAATTGGACATTTCAGATAACATATTACGACAATTCTAGAGTTTCCCTCCCTGCTCACACTTATTTGTTTTTGTGACTTACTGAACTGTTTTAGTAAAGTGTATTTTCCCCACAGTGTGACTCTTTTGATGTTGCTTTTCAGAGGACTCAGATTTGGACATGTACACAGTCATTTTGGGATAACGGTGTTTTTTTTTTTTAATCCAGGTCTCTATTTGTCTCTTTCTCTGATCACCCCAGTTTTTAGGCTTTGCTAATTTCCAGCCGATTGCTCTATTGTTTTTGGCAATACCTTGGGGGCATAAATCATTCAACAATTATCCAATTGATCCAATCAAATTTGGGCTCCTTTGCAGAGGTAGTTTCCAAGATTAGTGTTTGAGGTTTGTACCGACCCCAGGCAGGCTCTTCTTAGCTGTCTCTTCTCCTTATTCTCTCTGGCAAACTATGTGGCCTGTGATTTAGCCTACACCTTCCATGGAAAATCCAGCCTTCTCTTAAATGCTTTCCATCAAAACCTCCATTATTTTTTAGAGCGCTTGTAGATTTGAACTTCCCCACACTTAATTTCAGATAAAGTTAGTTTCTAGGGGAGAGGTTCAGAGCTGTTTGATGGGTTAACTCCTACTCTGACAGCAGTCTCTGAACTATGGTTCCAGAGTTGGGTGTAGGGACAATGGTGCACTTCTCTCTGAGTAATACCCCTGCTTTAGGATCAGATACTTCATGGAGGTGCTGGCCTTTGTTCTTATTGGCTTACCTCTCCTGGCTTTATGAGCAAACTAGGGTGAGGGCAATTGTGACCTTAGAATTTTCAGCACACTGTACCTGTCTATGAGTAGGGGCTAAGTGAAACCAGGGAACACCAGACCTCCCAGATGCACTCACTTGTAATTAAGTCCCTGCAACAGGTAGCCATGGGCAATGAAAAAATGCTAACGGCTTGCCCATTCAGAGAAGATACCAAAACCCTCGACTGAGAGCATCCTCAAGATCCTATTGACTCTTTCTCTACTGTGTCTCCTTCTTAGCCTCCATCCCAGTTCTGACCCCACCTTCTACTTGAGTCATTACAACAGCTTTCTACTGACGTGCTGCTAATTCCTCAACAATAATGCAGTTAGTTCACTTATTTTAAAAACTCAATCAGGGCTCCTCCAGAAGGTGTGTACACTCAATCTTTGTTCATCACTCTTTGTGTTTCGTCTCTTTATTCTGCATTTCAATCCCTCTGTGTCTAGCAGCATGGAAGATGTAATTATTACGTATCAGGCCCCATGCTAAGTGCTTTCCGTGCAACAGCTCAATTACTCCTCACAGCAACCCTACAAATTAGGTACTTTCTTCATTTGACGATGATAAAATGAAAGCTTCGGAAGGTAATTAGAACCATCTCTTACAGCTAGAAAATGGTAGAGACTATATTAGAAAAGAACAGAGTTTCTGACCTAAAGCTTGACCTCTAATTGGAATAATACCAATGCATGTGAAATCATTAGCAAATGTTTTAACATGTTATGCTAAACTACTTTTCCCCTAATTTTATTATAATTTATGTCCTCTGTTTCCAAATTATAACTGCATCCAGAACAAAAATTTTGTTTTCCACTATTTGTATCTTTCAAAACACTTGGTGCTCTGCTGGGCATAAAATGAGTAATTGGGGCCGGGCGCGGTGGCTCACGCCTGTAATCCCAGCACTTTGGGAGGCCGAGGCAGGTGGATCACGAGGTCAAGAGATCGAGACCATCCTGGTCAACATGGTGAAACCCCGTCTCTACTAAAAATACAAAAAATAAGCTGGGCATGGTGACGTGTGCCTGTAATCCCAGCTACTCAGGAGGCTGAGGCAGGAGAATTGCCTGAACCCAGGAGGCGGAGATGGCGGTGAGCTGAGATCACGCCATTGCACTCCAGCCTGGGTAACAAGAGCAAAACTCCATCTCAAAAAAAAAAAAAATGAGTAATTGGTATATTGGTGCCAGAGGACAGTGAGTGTAGGACTGAGCACTTATGGAACAAGTAGAAGGTCTGGAATATTAAGTTTAGGTTTCATTAAACGCTAGCCAGAAAGAGAATCTGAGACTCAGAGTGGAGACGATGCATTCAAGGTCACAGAGTTTGTTAGAGAAGGACTAGACAGAAGCCAGTTCTCTAAACTCCCTGCCTGGTACACGTCCCCAGAGCCCACTTAGATCAGCCCAGTGCATGTGGTGTTCACACCGTGGGACTAAAGGCCCTGCATCCCATGTCTCGAAATATACTGCTTTTCTCCTTGTAGAAACAGATGGAAACAGGTGAAATGAAACAGGGTGTGCCTTCATTTCGCATGTATCTGAGGGCCTCCAGCATGCTGTTTGCTGCTGGGAAGACAACAGTGAATGCAACAGCCTTTGCCCTCATGTGGAAAGTACAGTCTAGCAGGGGAATTGGGCAATCTAAGACAAACACATGAGCAAGCCAGATAGTTTCTGAAAGTGGGTAAGTACTTTGAAGAAAATAAAAGAGGGAAATAGGATAGAGGGTGGCTGGGGTGGTCCAAGAAGTTCTCTTCAAGGGGATGACATTTTAGTTGAGACCCATAGTATGAGAGCCAGCCCTATACATGGGATATGCTACAGTGAATGATTAGCCAGTACAAAGCTCCTGAACCAGAGAGACCTGGGATATTCAAAGCATGAGAAGAAAAACAGATTGAGCTGGAGCACAAAAGGTAAAGAGTGGCAGAGATGAGGCTGCAGAAGAGCAGAGACCTGATCACGGAGGACCTGAAGGCCTGGGTAAGAAGCAAGGAGGTCCCATGAAGCGTAAAGGGAGGCCACAGGAAGGCTCTGAGCAGGGGGTGATATGCTCTAGTCTGCATGTTGAAAAGATTATCTGGGTGGGCGTCAGGTTAGGAGAGGGCATGGTGGATGAACCCCATCTTCAGAGCTGAGTCCTGCTATCCAAGGGTGCTTCCAACAGACGTTCAGGTAGGAGTCAGGAACTACAGACAAGGGGCTGTGTTGGTAAGAAACTTGTAGGCTTTTACACTTCTTTATGTTGTTTTTATAACCACATATTCTGTAAAATCTTATGCCTTGTAGATTTGTCTTTGGAGAATGGAGCAATAAGGTGGATCCAAAGATAAGGAAACCGAAGGTGTAGAGTGGGAAGAGGCAGCAGGTCCAGGAGCCAAGGCCCCCCGGATGCAGCCCAAAAATTGGAAGAAAACCCCAAAGCCAGCAGGTCTGGACTTGAGAAGCAGAAAGGCCTGTGAAGCAGAGAGAGAGAAAGGGAGTGTTATGTGTCATTACGCCCATTTACTTCCATAGGCAGCCCCTTTATCACAATGCATTTTATAGCGCAGCTCTTTCAACAGCATCTAATTACTACCTCTACAACACCTACCAACATTTAACTCACTCTTTCCTGATTTCGGCAGCAGGACCCTACACGGACAGTGGAATTTATTGGCAATAAGGAGCCAACTTGAGGTATTTAAGATGTGATGATGAAAAGCGGGGTTGAGAAAGATTTTATCCCAATGAATTGTAGAAATTTCTGGATGCAGAGAGACCAGCTGGAGAGCAATCCGGCTTTGAACCCATGACTCGGGCAGTTGTAAAAAGGAAACCAATCTGAATGCAAGGGGAAGGCAGGTCTGAGAGTCTGTTCTTAATTTTCCTGTCGGTCTTTCTACCTGGATCTCAGATACTGCTCTCTGAATTTGAAGACGCTTTGTGTGTGTGTGTGTGTCCAAGTTTATGAATGCTGTGCTCAGCATGTGCTATTACTCTGTGACGGTTATAAAATAATTCTTCAGGAAAGAAATAGGCCATACACTAACTGGGTGAGCAAAAATAGGTCATGGCATGAAGATAGAAGGGCTGCTGGCCAAGACTGTGGAGCCAGAAGGCAGCCATCTGCTAGGACACAGGGCAGCGCCCATCCACACTGCTCACGATCCCTGCCAGGAACCTGTGATAGGGCAATTGCGCTGAACGTGGCCACGGCTTCTGACCTCCTTGGGAAAGGAACATCTTTCTGTTACTTAGCCACCTTTAAAGGTAGAATTCCATCTCAGTGTCAAGTCTTGGCTTACTAGCTCTGGAATGTTTGGTAAGTCACTTAATTTTTTTGAATCCCAGTTTTTCCCTTTGTGACATAGGAGATGCTAATACTTACCCAGGGTTTTTTGAGAGTTCAGTCACAGAATTAGAGACTCAAGCACAGGAGTCCTGTCCCCCCTCACCACTTCCCAGTTCATTGCATAACTCGCAGCTTCTAAGGGAGGGATGAAGCAGAGAGCCCTGTACCCAGCCCCTGCTAGTTAAGGAGACTATCTGCAGCAGATGTGGCTCAGGACAGAGCTGGAGAGAGGCAGCCTCATGCAGGGGGCAGCCAGTGAGGTACTCGATTAATGTTCCTTTCCATATAGCAATGTGGTGACATCATGGGATACCCTAGCTCTGCCTCTCTGTAATCACTCAGAAAGCTTGCCACTTCAGCGAGCTCTGTAACACCTGCGTGCTTCAGTTTCCCTAACAACAATACGAGAACAATCAGTCAAACCTATCTCATGGAGTTGTAAGGAGAAGTAAAAGAGTTCCACATTGGGAATTCTGCAAGCAGGGCTGGCACACAGCAAGCTTGAGGGATTAGATTTTCTTCTTGTTGTTCCCAGACTGCTGTGTCCACACTTCACAACCATGTTTCTAAGAATGAAATCATTTTACAATGTTCAGGTAGAAACTAGCCATGTGGTTCTCTTTGTGTTTGTATTTCTTCAGAAAAAAAAAATTTCACAAATTAACATTTCCAATGAAGTCACTGGAAATTGAAGTTGAATAGGCTTTATAAGAGCAGACTTGTGTTAGGCCACCTGCCATCACTTTTGTACTCTCTTATGCTTCTGTGTCCTGTCCCCCCTCACCACTTCCCAGTTCATTGCATAACTCACAGCTTCTAAGGGAGGGATGAAGCAGAGAGCCCTGTACCCAGCCCCTGCTAGTTAAGGAGACTATCTGCAGCAGATGTGGCTCAGGACAGAGCTGGAGAGAGGCAGCCTCATGCAGGGGGCAGCCAGTGAGGGGACCTGGCAGGAGGAGCTTCCATACACATCTGCAACTTGGTGGAACCACCTCAGGAAAGAGGCAAAGTCTGGGGATCTTAATCCACATTTTTAGCTGCAGGGTCCAGCCATGCACACCTCAGCACTGTGCTGTTGGGGACATCGTTTTTTACATAGTCTGTCAATAGCATCCTTTGGGGGAAGGGAATGTTTTAGCCCACAGGTGTTAACTGTGACTTGGAACAGAAAACCAGGGGAGAGAATCATGCTCGTGGGGAAGGAAGGAAGAAGACGGAATGAATGGCTGCTTCTGCTTCACCTGGGACAACAGAAAGAGCTGTTCGGGTTGTGGTTCAGGAGGCAGGTGCCAAGGATGAAAAGTTCCCGATGAGTCTGGAGGACTTTTGTGATGCAGCAAGTGACAGCTGACATATCTTAACAGTGCAGGTCAGGTTTTTCCATAGCAGATTCTGGAGACACACGTTGGGACATTGTCAGAGCTGGAAGAGGATGATGGGTCATAATAGGTCATACCTCATGACAGATTCTTTCAATCTGCATATTCTGGCTCCTTGGCCATGGTCCAGCAGTCTCCTGAACGTAAGAGTCACAGCAAACAAGCTGTTCTGCTGAAAGGCTGAAAGCGTGACCAGGGACTTGGAGAGGGGAGAAGGGGTTCAAGAAATGGATCTTTCTGCACTGGCCAGCACTCAGTGACTGATTGTCACAGGGATATGAAGGCATAATCATCTTGGCTGAACTTGGGACAATTCTGAAGGGCCATCCTAGCTCTAGAGTTCCCCATGGCATCAATGCCATGTCAGTGGTTTAATCAAGATTTATTTGCTGAAGATCTTTCTGAACCTAGATACCACACTCTATGCTATTTTGCTAGCATGAAACAATGCAGAAGACAGTCGGACAAAGAAATATCATAGGTGTGTTCTTAGTGAATGCTTGGGCCAACAGCTGTTGCCTAAACCTGCTTTTCTTCCACTCGCAGGAGCACAGTGGGCTGGAGGGTCAGCCATACTTAAGGTTTTGGGGATAGGGCAAATAACTATTGTGCCCTGTTTTCTATTGGGTTTTACTGGCTAGGCAACACAAATTGCTGACTAATGGAGAAGAATAGCAAGATCCAAACATGATGTTTTAGGAAGGGTAGATTTGGATGGTGGGATTAATGTATTAATCAGTCATATCTTACAGTATCATTTAGAGAGCAGTGGAATTAATGAACTCAGCACAGAGTGACATCCATGTGAGCATTACTGATGCATGGTTTCATCCCGAAGAAACTGTGCTCGATTTTGAACTCAGTGTTATTTTAAGTTACTAGGAGAGTTACCCATCCCTCCTTCTTCCCAGCCAGCCAGTCATGGAAGATTCATTTGGTACCTAAGGGAGCTGGGTTCTAGGATTTGAAGACAGAGAATAGTACCTGTTCACAAGGAGTCTAGTGCCCTGTGGAGTTGTCAGATCTTTCCAATACAATGGCACAAATGCTAGAGTCTCTTGGTATAGGTTAAATTATGTGGCAACAACAAATGATCCCCCAAATCTCAGTGGCTTTCAACAACAGAGGTTTGTTTCTCCCACACATTACTTATTCTTTAGAAATTGGCTACATCTCTGCTTCACATCTTTTTCTTTTGATTGAGACAGAGTCTCACTCTGTCACCCAGGCTGGAGTGCAGTGGTGTGATCTTGGCTTACCGTAATCTCCACTTCCCGGGTTTAAGCGATTCTTCTGCCTCAGCCTTCCCAAGTAGCTGGAGTACAGGTGCACACCACCACACCCAGCTAATTTTTGTATTTTTAGTAGAGACAGGGTTTTGCCATGTTGGCCAGGCTGGTCTTGAACTCCTGACCTCATGTGATCCACCCCTCCTTTGGCCTCCCAAAGTCCTGGGATGAGCCACTGCACCTGGCCTCCACATCTTTTCCATTAGGGGCCCAAACTAAGGCAAGCAGCCTCTATCTAAAATATGCAGATCTCATGACTGGAAAAGAGAGAGAGTGGAAATTGGCAATAGCTTTTCCAGCTTCTCCTGATAGGTTGCGCATGTCACTTCTGCTCACATTTCATTGGCTGGAGCAAGTCATATGGTCAGGCATGACATCAGCAGGGCAACCTGGGGCAGTTAACAGTTGGCAGTTAACAGTTGGGAGGGAAAACATACTCAGTCATGACGCCACAACAGAGTGAAGGAGCCAGCGTTAAGCAAAGACAGCCTGCAGAAAGGCAGCAACATTTTGAGCTCTTTTTATTTCTCTTTATTGATATATTTTAATTGAACCCAGTTTTGTTTTGTTTTGTTTTTCTGTGTAGCCCTTAGAGACAAGCTCTGCCAGGCTCATATAGCAGAGAGAAGGTCTTGAGATTAGTGTTACTCAGCATTTCTGCTACTGGAGACCTGCATAAAAATTTAACAAACCGGGAAGTAGTTTTCATGACAACCCTTTTGGTGCATAGATGTTACTGAGGGTTTGGGGGTGTCTTTATGGAAAAGCCATTAGGCTGGAAGTCAGACACAGCCGGGTTTGAGATCTGTTCTGCCACTTAGTACTCGCGTGGTTTTGAGGAGTCATCTGGCCTCTTTTCAGGTTTTAGATCCTTCATCTGTAAAATGAGGATTGTTGTGAGAAAGGGAAATTGCTCTGTAAACAGTGAAGCACTATTCAAATGCTCAGGCTCTGGAAAAATTGGATGGAAAATGTCATAAGAAGTGGGCAGTTCTGGTTTTCTTCCATTGCTATAGGAAGCTGGCACCCACAATAAGAAAGTTTATTGACAGCAGCTGAGAAATGCTGAAGCTGGTAATTATCTCCAAGACAGGCTGAGTTTTGATTGTAAGTAAGGGAGCCTGGTAGCCCTTTCAATCAGACATGTGCCTTGATGTAATGCTGACAGCCTATTTACACAGAGGCAGCTGTGATATTATAAAAGAATGAAAAGCATGCTGAAGGTCTAAGTTGTTATGGAGGGTGTGACTTCCGTTTGTCTCTGTAGCTGATTGTTGCAGGATGGTTAAAATCTGGTGTGAACATGAGCGAAAGAATTTCTGAATTTTCATTATGACCCAGCATTTTAGAGATGTGTGGAAACTTAGCCATGACTGAATTCAACCCCTTCTCCGCATGAATAAGGAAACTGCCACCCATTGATGTCTGAGTGGCTATTAATGCAGAGAGAAAAACTCACCTGTCTTTTATGAATGTGCTAATTCATTAATCTATAAAGAATTAACACTTCTTCTAATATTTAGCATTTAACATTTCTAAATATTTATTCACTATTTACACATAATCAGCAAAAGCACAAAACTTCACATTAAATCTCCCCAGACATTTAAGCATTCATTACAAATTTGTAATCAAGCTCTTAGATAAACAAATAATTAAAACTAGGACTCTAATAAATTGGATTTTTTGGCATGCTCTAAACACCTTAAGAAGCAGACAACACATGCACAGAATGTCACTTTGATTATAGAAATTATTATACTATGGGGAAATGGCTTGCCGAGACCCTGAAGAGCCAGAGAGGATACTGCTCGCAGATGTGAAGGATACACACTCTGTTTTCTCCTCCTTCTGTAGGGAGCACCTGCTGATGCTGTGTGGCAAGAAAAGTACGAGGTGTCTATCAGCATATTTTCAATTAAGTGCATGAGCTGTTGGCATAACTCTTTCTGAAATGATGATACAATTCCATAGCAAAACCAGGCTGCAGTACAGTAGAAATGAGCACCTTACCTCTGCTAGTCTCCCATCCCAAGGACTCTATTTCCGAAGGGGTATATTTATTTTGGGAATTCTGGGGGCAACAGCTTGCTGTGTCGTGAATATGTGTTGGTACTCCAGCTTCTTATGGGCCCAGATTTCTGTTCACATTCTGCATCCTTGGTTAATTCTGTCAGGAACTTTACAGTGAAAAGTAGAACAAGAGTGAGCACACAAGAGTAAGATCAAGAAAGGTCTCTTCTCCCCAGTGCTATAATCCCCCTGAAAAGCTGTATCCGCTTGCACTACTAAAACAGGTCAT